CCCCAAAGAGAAATTTGAACAGCTGTAATATTTTTTCTGCTTACCTCTAATTAAACCTATTATTTTAAAATGATCAATGCCAATAATTATTAATAATAAAATTAGTTGGTGTCAGTATGATCCAGCAATCCCACTCCTGGTGTCACGTGAGTGGTGTCTGAAAACAGACTAAGAGCTTGAATTGATGCAAAAAAATAAAAGATGGCACTGACTGTGTCCTGAGGGGACGCCTTCCCGGCCACACTATGAAAGGAGCGCTGATGTCTAAGCACAGAGGCTGGCGGAGGGCCCTGCACGCCCGCCCCCAGCTGCTCGATGCTGGAACCCAGCGCCGCCCACCTCCACGAGACACATCCCTGGGCGCCGAGGGGAGGCCCGGTGAGGGCTGTCGGTGGGCCTTGACGTCCTCCTGGAAGCAACCCTGTGAAAGCCGGCGAACCCTCGAGCTGTGTGTCTTCTCTCTTCCTCTTTGCACGTGTGGCCTGACGTCGAGTACTTCCCGCTTTCTGCTGCTCTGGGAGGGCCTGCCTTTCCACGAGCACCTCCGTGTCCACCTTCCTGGCCAGCCCAGCACCCCGGTACCCGCGCCCGCTCCCCCTCTGTCTCTCCATCTGTCTCAGCTGCTCCCACTGCGGACGGACTGGTCGTTTTCGAAGGTGGCATGTGTGGTGACTCTTCCTGACGTATTTTCACAGCAGGGGGTGAGCACCCAGTCTTCCCAGGAGACGCCGGCTGCGGTCCGACGGGGACGAAGTGGTGTCCCTGGAACTGATTTGCTCGGTTACTCAGGAAGATGGATGGACAGATGGACAGATGGTGCGGGGGGTTCAGTGGCCCTTCTTGTCCTCGTGGACACCAAGGTAAGACGGGGTTCCAGCCGCTGCCGAGGCCCCGGGGCAGCAGGGGCAGAGAAGCACTGACAACAGGAAACCCAACAGGAAAAGAGGACAATACAGATGAGGCGGTCGGCCTGGGTGCGGGAGCTACTCCCTCACGTGACAGAAAGATCCAAAGAAAGAAGGGAAAACCGCCGCGGTGAGGAGGGGCTGCGGGGGGCTCCCACGTCAGGGTGCTGCCTCCGCCGCAGGCTGGACCGTGCTGAGCCCCGAGCAGAGGCAGCTCCTGGGCCCCTAACCCAGGGAGTGACGGGCACTTTCTAAGTCCTGTAAAAACACGCAGCTGAACAGAGCAAGTCACAATGACTATTCTGACGAAAACACTTCACGGGTTTGCAGTGTGTCACCTCCGCCCGGGACCACGTGCGTGGACAGGGAGAACACAAAGGCTGCAGGAGAGCGCGGGAGGCTCGTCACGGTGCAGGCTCACTGTGGCTTTCCCTTTCACAGGGAAAGCTTCTTGCGTCAGCACGGACACCCTAAATACAAACTGTTTCTCAGCGTGTGCACGTGTGCGTGCACATTCGTGTGTGCACAGGGCAGTAGAGTCGCAGCGAGGTGACCTGAAGGAGGCTCCCCGTGAACCGCCTGGCACAGGCAGCCTGGTGAGGCGCTTCTGAGAACCTGCGGATGAAGGGCTGGGATGTCGCAGGACCCGGAACACTGAGGTGCTACCCGTGTCCTCCTCTCTCTGGGTATGAGCTCAGGAGATGGTTTACACGCCCACCAGGGCGATCGCATGCGGATGGCCACCGTGCGAGGAGGAAGCCCTGCGGTGCCCGTGGACGCCCCTCCTTACCTAATGGGAGCTTCAGAAATGCCGGTGCTTCCCTGAGATACTCAACAGTGACGGTCACTTGTCTCCAGAATTCCTCAAAAGACGCACCTGCCAACACGACAAAACACAGCCGCTTTACCATCACAAAGGGACCAGCGCAGAAATGGAAAAGCCCCTGCTCCCCTGGCCTGTCTCTCAAGAACTCAGCGCTCAGGGCGGGAAGCCTGATAGCCTCACCTGGAGTAACAACACAGCGGCTGTGTCTCCGGCCACGGCCGCTGCGCCCCCCTGCACAAACGCTCACACACACCTGTGCACGCCGCGCGCCGCACCCGGCACGCGTCCTCGGGCTGTGGAGTCACTGCAGGGTGGACGCAGCCCTCATGGCAGGTGCGGTGACTGGAGTCGTGTCCTGGCCCCCCAGACGCCCTTCTGCCTCCTCAGCCCCCGGAGCGAGGGCGGGCGGGCGGGCCGGCCGGCGGTGAGTGCGTGCGGAGCCGGTGTGAGCTTGTGCGTCCGTGTGTGAGCTCTGTGAGTGCGTGTGAGCATGTCTGTCCCCCACAAAATCCACATTCTCTCAAGAACACGGGGCACCCACAACAGTTGCTCAGGCACAAAGGGAGCCAGGAGCAAGCAGGGTGCAGGCGCTGGAGAGTTCGTCCTCTAAGCAAAGTGACAACGGCTCGTTAGACAGGCCCTGGTCTGAGCGGCGAGGTCTCAAGTTTCTGGCCATTAAGTACTTGGTCAGCCGCAGGTTCTGTAGACATCCTTCACTAAGCTGAGGAGAGCCCCCTCCCCTCGTAGTTCACTGAGACCTTCGGTCACGGGTGGGTGCTAGCTTTGCCAGATGACCTTCCTGCACCTGCTGGCATGATCGCGTGGCCTCTCTTCTCCGGCCTGTTGATGCGACGGTTCCGTTACTGACTGTCCAGGGCTCAGCCAGCCCGGCATGTTTGGGATGAGTCCCACTTGGTCATGATGTGCAATTCTTTTCGTACGCGGCTGGATTTGACTTGCTGGCATTTTGTTGAAGGTTTTCCATCTGTGTTCATGAGGCATACTGTTCTGCAGTTTTCTTCTCTGGTTTGGGGTTAGAACGGCCCGTGTACCGTACGGGGGGTTGGGAAGCACCCCTTCTGCTTTATTCTCTCAAAGAGACTGTGGAGATTGGTAGTGTCTTCCTCAAGCGTCTGGCAGAATCACCAGTGACCCACCTGAGCTGGCGCTTTCTGTTTCGGAAGATTATGGATTATTCATTCAATTTAGTAACAGATACAAGCCTATTCAAACGATGTCTCTTCTTGTAGGAGGTGCGGCAAATTGTGTATTTCCAGGGGTCAGCCCATGTCACCCAGCTAATCAAATCTGTGGGCACAGAGCTCACAGCATTCCTTTATCACCCGTTTAACGTCCACGGGATCTGCAGCGACGTCCCCTTCCTCATGTCCAACATCAGCAAACTGTGTCTTCTCACGGCTTTTCTAGCTAGTCTGGCTAGAATTTGTCGAATTTATTGATCTTTTAAAATAGCAAATTGCTGATTTCACTGATTTTCTCTACTGATTTATTTTCAATTTCTTTGGTCTCTGCTCTAATTTTTGTCACTTTTGTCCGCCTGTTCACTCTGGACTTCATGGCTCACTTTTTCTAACTTCCTTCTGAGGGCCGCTGTGACTGCAGCCCGCAAAGTCTGAGAAGCTGCGTTTGCTTTTGCATCTAGTTTAGAACATTTTTTAAACTTCTTCCAAGGTTTCCTCTGCCCCATGTGGTGGTCAGAGCCTCCGAGTGTCAGGGGCTCTCCAGCCCCCTCTCCACTACTGATCTCTAGTTGAATTCTGTTACGGCTGGACAGCAGATACTGCATGGCTTCTGTTTTTTCAAATTGGCTAAGATGCGGTTCACAGCCCAGAAAGTGGTCCATCTTGGTAAGCACCCATGTGAGCTCGGGAAGAACGCGAGCTCCCTGTTGCTAGACGAGTTCATCTGTAGGTACTCATCGTGGCCAGCTGACCACGGCTTGGCTGAGTTCAACTGTGTCCTTACTGGTTTTCCTGCCTGCCGGATCTTTCCCTTCCTGATCAACTGTCCTTTTATCTTTGTGCTGAGTGTCTGTCATCCACTCAGCAGTCCTTCATTTCCCTTCTCAAAGCTCCTTTGTGTGAAAGGGAAGCCAAGCACTCTGCTTCCCCAGATACTTTGCTGAGAGAAACTCATGTAAGGTCTGGAAGCTGCAAGACGAGAAGTCCCTGGTCCCCGGGTCGGAGGAGCAGCTGCTGGGCAGACGGGCCCTCCTGGGCTGCCCGGCGCTCCCGCGCGCTCCGTCTCATCCACGGCAGACAGCAGGCGCGCTCCTGCTTCGTGAAGACTGCAGCGGGTTCCTGGCTTGTTTCCGAGACCCAACCACGTTAGTTCTCAGCGCTCAGACGGCAGATCCCTGCACTTTGCTCTCCCAGGGATTCCGACGTGCTGTGAACCACTCTATCCCCAGTCAAACTGTTACGGCAACAATTCCTGCCACTGTGCCTGCCTTCCTGCTGGGATCCTGCTGGGCAGTGTCTCGAGGTGGGGACAGGGAAGGAGGCTGCTGCAGCTGCACTGGGGAACCTGGAGACAGAAAACCCCACAGCTCAGGGGTTAACGTTTCCGGCTGGAACCCGGAATCGAGAACCAGAGCCTCATGGTCCACCTGAAATGATTCCTCATTTCTTGTAACTACACAGGTGAGGCTTCTGAAGTCCCAGCTGGGAGGCTGGCAGAGCAGGTGACGCGTGGCTGAGTCCTGAACCTGTAGCTCGTGTTGCAGTCAGGACGCTGACCGGAAAGAGCGGGGTCAGGAGCAGACGTCAGTGTCCCTGTCCCTCTCCACCCCGTCTTCCTCTTCCCCTCTGTGGGCACTTTCCTCCCCTGAGGGTCCTGGAACCACCTTCCTGAGCAACAGCCTGGAAGGAAAACGCTGACTCCGGAGACCCAGCCCCTCTGCCTCCCAGTAACTCCCAGCCTGTAGCGGGTCTCAGGTCTTGGCGTGAAGTCTGACTTCAGCAGAGGTGTTCCATGTACGTCAAGACAACCACAATATTCTACCCAATTGTACCGGCCGGCACGTGAGCGTGCGGATGTGTGCTGAGAGAGTGAGACCTGCTGGACCGAGCCAATGGACTAGGGGTTCTAGATTCAGTTTCTTAGTTTAAGCAAGTAAGTCAAATAGTTTCCACTGTCTGTTGACTGAAATCAGGACACAACGTGGCCAAATCAAACGAGGTTGAGATACCAGAACTTCCCAGAGACACTGCTGAAGAAGTAATTCAAAGGGCTGCAGAGACGGAGTGCCCTGCTCACCCACCCCCTTGCTGGAGCCACGTCCACTCCTCCAGGGAGGGTCCAGGGGACGCTCTCTTCGCCAAAGGACTGAGAACAGTCTAGGTGAGGAAAGCTCTGGCTTCCTGCGAAGGCTCTGCTGTGTTGTTCTCCTGCTGACGAGGGACGGATGGGCGATGCCTCCACCAAAACTGGTCTCCTGACTCAGAAAGACACAACGGGGTCCTGGGGGCAGAGTCCCGGGGACGGCACTCAGCCACCAGAGCCAGTGGTTCGGTTCCCCTGATGGGCAGGAGGGCTGAAGGTCTGGCTGTGGCTCATTGATCCTGGAGCCCCTGGGCCTGAAATAGATGAGGAACGTATCACGGTTGTAACCGATCCGTGCAGGCGCTCAGTCTCCCGATCAGGGAAGCAGAGCCCTGACCGGTCATCACAATACAGAGCCACCGGGTCTCCATCAGCACTGACAGCCGAGTGGGTTCACAGTCTCCCTGTCCCCTGAATGAAGGAGAGTCTAAGTCCATTTGAGGAAAGATTGTCAAACACTTTCACTGCAAATCCCAGCCCCTGTAAGAGGCTGTGTGACACCGGTGACGTGCAGTGTGAGAGACGCGGGATCCGCGTCCGTGCTGATCCCTGGACACCAGCACCCGCCACCGTCCGGCGGTCAGAATTCAGGTCCTAATGCGGCCAGGCGATCAGGGCCTTTCGTGCTGGACCCATCTCACCTCCGTCCCTAACATGCCCTGTGGTTATCTTCCCCTTTTCTGCAGAGACCAGGTCCTAATGGAAGAGCTGAGCACATCAACAAGAGCTGGACTTCCCCTCCCCCAGCACCACCACACCAACAAACCTCCGCCAACCACACCCACGCCCCTACCAGGAGTTTAGCTCCCCATTCCCGTGACCTGGAACCTGCTAACTTCGAGGCCTGGGAATTAGGCAGAAGTGGTGCTGAACCAGAGCCACCTGCTGAAGCGCCTGTGGGGGGTCAGGTGGTTCTGATGTGCTTTGGGGCGGAGAACCACCTCTCCAAACAACTTCCCGTCTCATGAAGGAGAAAACGTTCTGGTCGGTTATCTATCCACCCACGCTTCTGCCATCCGTCAGTCACCTGCCTGCCCGCCTGCCTGCCCACCACCTTCCATCTGTCCAACCTGTCCCTCAGCCTGTTTCTCTGGTAGCACTAGGGCCCATGTAACCAGATGGAAAGGCTGACAGTCTCCCGCAGTTCCTGCTCTGTCACAGAAGCAGAGACTGAGGGAACGGTGACCTTTCACCTGGAGGAGAGAAGATGACAGGAGGGGGACCTGGAGCAGGCTGGGCACCATCAGGAGGAAGAGGGGTCCTGTCAGCCCCTAGACCCGAGAGCAGAGGCAGAGCAGCCAGAGGACCAGCTCCTTCTGCAGCAACAACAGGGCTTCCACTGTCATTTCTGAAATACAACTCTCACTCCCTGATTAGACCAGGCCCACCCCTGAGGTCCGAGGTCATACACGACGGGACGCCTGCTTCGGCATTAAGCAGAAGGAAGCTGCACACGTTATTGGCTCCAATTTTCTTTTTTTTGGTGAGTACTTTTCCCTTTCCCTGGGCTGTGGGGGCGTTACTGAGGTGTGCACTGTCTCTTTTAATTACTATGTATTTTCTCACCTTAAGAAAGCAAACTTCAGCAGAAATTGGAAAACAACAAAAACGTTCAGTTTAGGAAGTGAAGAGGTGAGAGCGGGTCACCTACCCAAAGGTAACCGAGACCACAAGTCGCTCGACACCAAGAAACACTTCATCTCACCCCTCTGCCTGGCGGGCACGAAGTTCGTCCTTCCCTCAGTGACGAGTCACTAACACACTGTGTGCTGGTTTGATGGAAAGTCCGTGTCCCGCAGACCAGATATGTTTGGTGTCCAGGCTGCCCGCCCTCATTTGGAAGTGATGTTGGCTCAGTGGAAAATAAACAGCGATGAAGGGCGCACAACTGACCGCATGCAGAGCTGCCCCTCCCCTGAGACGCTGGCACACTGACATCCTGCTGGGCTTCACCACACCAGGCAGAACAGGCCACCTTGTGAGGGACCCCGACCGCCTGCCCTGCAGGGTCCTGGGCTCCCCCCCACCTCGGCCCGTCCCCCATCCCTCAGCCTCCCCACGCTCCAGGGCCCGCTCTGGCCGGCCTTCTTCTCTCCCCATCTCGCTCTCCAAGGTCCGGCTCAATCACCATCCACATCAATGCTGTCCCCGCCCAACGGAACACGCGTCCCTGTCCCCACGACCCCAGTCCCGTGCATCGGGGCACGTGGCCGTACACATGGATTCACCACAGGGCTTCCTGTGCCTGATTAAGGCTTCGGCATGGATGTTCCCTGCACCCTTCCCGGCAGTGTGGACCCGACCCCTCCACAGGAGTAATGCCGGGTGGAGGCCCTGTGACCCCCGTCCCTGGGCCAGCACTGAGGCTAAGTGCTGGAGACGTCCTCCCAGACAGACGGACGGACGTGCACACAGGGCCCAAGGAGCCGCGCGGGGGCCCCTCACTGGCTCCACTCAGGCCGCCCAGGGCCCCACCCCCTAAATTTCAGCTCTCCTGTCTTTAAAATAGAAGCCACCAAACCCACCCTCTACAGTGTCTGCGAAGACCTGTCGCCTGTGGATGTGACAGCACAAGGGCTCACGACCTGGAGGGCACTGCACAAAGGCCTCTTGGAAACATGACTTTTACGTCTAAGCTTTTCTTCCCGGTTCTAAAACTCTGTGTCTGCGACACACTCAGTGAAATACACTTTTAAGGGAAAAATCATCAGAGTAAGAGAAAAGCTAATAAAAAGAAAAAACAGCAACATCTAAAGTCTAATACACTCACCACTTCTTCGTGGGTTGCATTTCCCACATGAATGCCATTAACCTGAAAAGATGACGAATTAAGAATTTTGAGGAAAAGAACTGAATTAGTGTAAAACTGAAGTGTAACACAGTTAAGCACTGGGGTTTAAAATACGGACCTGCAGAACGGCGTCCCCCACAAACAGCATGCCCGTCCGGTCAGCTGCGGGTGTAGAAGTGGCAGCAGCGTCAAGAGAGGCTCGGAGACATCACGCGTCAGGGCAGTGGCCTCAGCTCAGCGTCTGCAGCAACCGGCAGTGTGTGTGTACACGTGTGTACGTGTGTGTGCATGCAGGTCACGTGGGCGAGTTTGTGTGTATGTGCGTGTATGTGTGCACTGCGACGTGTGAGTCCGTGTGCACACGTGTGCATGTGGGTGAGTCCATGTGCATGTGCAGATGTGTGGTGTGTGAGTGTGCGTGTGTGCGGGTGTGTGTACCCGGGTGTGGAAAAGCCAACAGCACAGCAGGCACCCCTGAGGCGAACCAGGCAGCTAGACAAGCACGTTAAGAGGGCGACTTTCCAAGCACAGGAGCCTGGTTGGGGAGGAGCGTGGACACCACTCCCTCCGGACGAGGGGCGTCGCCACACGTGCAGAGTCGGACGCGGCTTCACTAAGTCCACACAGACAGCAAAACACGAACCCCAGAAGCCCCTCAGGATTCCCCTTTTCTCGGGAACAAATCTACACAGACCGCTTTGACTAACGAGTGGGCCCAGAATATCAAAGGGGAAAGGAAAGAAACACTTGGTGTGGTCAAGTCCAAGTGTAATCTCTCCAGCATCATTTCCCCTTAACTTTCCACTCTCACAGGCAGAGGCAGAGCGACAACTCCTTTCAACGGCTGATCAAACCCGCACCAAATGTAGAGCGCTTGTAGTGTAAACCGTGACACTTCCCGCTGTAATGCAAGGGCCTGGCCTCAGCTCTGACCGCCCAGGAGGCCCGGCCTCACCCCAGACAAACAGCGGGGCCCCCACCGAGGCCCCTGCGCTGTGGACGGCTTGGCTGAGCTCAGGGACTGACCGTCTGGGCTGCCTGCTTCTTCCCTCCTCGAGCTTTAAATTCCTGCTCTTACGTTTAAATCACAATACAGAGTGACCCCCGGGAACCCCCAGGGAAGCAGGACCCTGGGCCCCTGCGCTCTCTGCCCACGACCTCGACCTGGCTGTGGACCCAGGTGTGCTGTGCGGTTTCCAGGTCCTGCCAGGAGCGAAACTTCCTGTTTTCAAAGCTCCTCCTGGTTATTGCTGACGGCGTCCTGCAAACACAACAGGACCACAAGGGCTGACCCAGTCCCCACACGGGCTGGAGCCAGGCTGAGACCCGCACGAAGCCCTTTTACAGATCTCTCTCCTTCACCTGGATTTCCTCTGATTTACAAGCCTTTGGTTAAATAAGAGAAGCCAAGTAATAAGCTATTCCCTTCACACTGTAACCTTCTTTAAATTCCATGCAAACATGTGATGGCAATTGTTAATACTAGTTCTCATCGTTAACTAGTATTAAGTTTTGTTGCAAATAAAATAGTCTTTACGTTATTGACTGTGATGGTATGATTTTAGGTAACTAAGAAAGTTCTCGCTGACACCACGACTTCGCCCAGAAAGCCTGCCTCACCCCTCAAGGGAGACCTGCGCCCCGTCTGGCCCCACGGGAGGCCTTCGGATTCCCCCCTCTGTCTCCGTCTCCGTCTCTGTCTCTCTGTCTCCATCTCTCCTCCTCTCTCTCATCTCTGTCATTAAATAAAAGTTAATTAAAAAGACTATCCAATTAAATCTTTGAAATGCTTTCCATTTGATGGGCTTTTAGTCCTAAAGAAACAAATTAAAAAGCGGTGAAATGGATGATAAAATAAAACCATGGAAGTTTAAGTTTAATTTAAAATTTTAATTAACGTTCCTGAATAAAATAAACTCTTTGGTCAGAATATACTAGGCTTGTGGGTTTTGGCTGAAAAGCGATTCTAGTTTATTTCTGTGGTGATTCTGCCGTTACGCTGGGATGGAAAATGGAAAAACAGCATAATGCAGTTTAACCCGTATAAATATTCAAAGGTGCAGACTAGCTACAATGGGCTAATATTTTCTATTTCTGTTACACTTTCCTTCTCAAGGCAAACTAATTGCTATTACCCATATCTGAGGTGATGTAAATTTAATCATTGTTGGCAATACAATGGTTTTGTAACAAATAATTTGCTCTTTTTGCAACTTTAGTCTTTGCAAAATTCAGACATAAATATTGATGAATAAAACCTCTGGGTAATAGCGTAAAAGGGTAATATTTCTTAAAAGTCTTCCCGTTTGAGCACTGAACTTCATTATCTGGACTAACAATGACTAAAACTAGCCTTTCCTGCGCGTCAGACCCTCCTCGCGGTCCACTTTGCGCTCTGACTCTGGAACCACTTGACCACCCGTGTGGGGCACGGCTGTCCCCGGGTGGGCGGGTCCCCTGTGGGGACGTGGGCCTGTGGTTTGACAGGAAAGCCACACAGAAGAACTAAGTTCAAAGACTGTGGACAGAGGCAAGGAACGCGCATTCTCGGTGTGAACCCCACACCTGCACGAAGATGGGCACTGACTCCAGCGAAACCCCACCGCAGCAGCCTTCCTGGAAAGGCACAAAGTCCCGTTGCCAGTGGCGGTCGTGGCAGCCCTCTGCTGTGGACGGCACGGCTGGTGACCGGCACTGGGAACACGGGCGAGGCACCCTGAGGGACAAGCACCCCTGTCTGTGGGGCAGGTGGGCAGCAGGTGCACACGGCGTCCCACAGGAGCAGAGGATGCAGGCGGCAGGACACCCTCCTGAGAACGGCCTCGCCCAGGGCCCAGTGCTCGTGAGGCCAGCCGGGCTCCAAGCCCACAGCGCAGCACATGGCCCACTCGAGTGGTCCTGAGACGGCTCGTCTGGGGCAGCACCTACCCCACCAGGTGCTGGCATGCTCCCTGTGGTGCCATTAACTGCCCCACCTTCCCTCTCTGGCTGGTCAGCAGTGGGTTCTGGGCGTCCCTGGCATCCTCCAGGGACGAGTCAGGACCCCTGAGCACCAGCACAGCCTGGACGGGCAGAGGCTGCTGGTCAGAGCCCAGCCCAGGGCCGAGCTCCGGAGCAGATGGTCTCAGAAAGGGAAGGCGAGACCAGAGACGGCCAGGAGACCGTGGAGGAGTGGGAGGAGAGGCGGGCTCCGCCCTGAGACTTGCTGTGCCGAGCTTCCTGTGGTGCCTCCCAGCAGCTGGAGAGGAGGCTCTGCTTCGGGAGAGAGTGTGTTGGCACGTCTGGACTCCGGTTGGAAGGACTGGACGCCCCTGTTACTCCTGAGGACACCCACCTGGCCGGCCACCCCAGACGCGGGCGCACCTCCCAGCTCACGAGGGGCGGCCTGGTCACCCTCTGCAGATAAAGCTGGTTCTCATCCTGAACTGGGCATAACATCCTTCTCTGATTTTTGTCGTCTCCCTTCATCCCAGTCTTTTCGGAAACTGATATTCACACCCACACATTAAAAACTTCACTTAGAAAAAGAACTGAGAATGTTCACGAAGACCACAGGAGCCGAAAAGGACTGGAGCACCTTCCTTCAGTTACTGACCAGCCAGCCCGATGGGTGACGGTGGCGCACGAGGCTCCGAACACTCCGAGCTCAACGAGGAGCCGAGTCCTTCCCCCTCACAGAAACTGCCTCAGACGGACTCAGCTCTGCAGCTCTTCCACTTCACAACTACAGTGCTGGCTTGTACAGCAGAAGGGCGTTCGCCCAAGGGAATCATAATGTTTTGTCAAAGTGCTTTAAAAACCTCGAAAAATAATGGTCATTTGAGTCAGAGCCTTGTGCCCTATGGTTACAGTTAGAACTGTATTTTCTTACAAAGCAAACGGCAGGGGAAGGACCAGGCTCCTTCCGAGCCTGCAGCTGGGGTGGATCCCCGTGGAAGCCCCTCTGGCTCTGTCCCCTCAACCCCCAATAAGTGCGATCTGTCTGCTGCAAACGTTAAAGGCAGGTGCTGTGACTTCGCTCAGAAAGGGAAAATACCGTATCACGCTGAGTCCTGAATTCCATCCTTTTGGTACCAAAGAGTCTTTACACGCATGCAGATTTTGTTAAAATGCCTCCTTCCCCCACGAATGAATTCAGAGCACTGTGGGGAGTTCACATCCCCTGGGAACCGTCTTTGCAGGAAAACGTGACCCCCCAGGTCTGAGGTAGGTGTGATGCCCGAGGGCACGCCGTGCAGACGCCCCAGATACCAGGTTCTGAGCTGAAGCACGAACTGACTCTGCAGTTCCCACTGAACCTGCACGTCTCAGGGGCCGGTGTGTCCATCCGGGAGGCCCACAGTCTCTGCCCCAGGACTGGTGGCAGGGCGCACCCCTTCCTGATTCAGGCCTCCCTCTGGACGCTGCACAGTTTCAGGCTCGGGGCGCGCTGCCCTCCACCAGTTTTGGGAGCACCATCACCTGAGCCACAGGTCCCACTGACAGGGAGTAGCTGGCAGGACAGGGAGCCGAGGGTCCTGGTGGGAGTGGACCTCCCTACCCGCCACTAGCAATGTGACACTGTCAGAAAGCCTCCACTTCTACGGGAAACGAGCAGCCCCACACAGGGAGGACCCCGTCCTCACTCTCCCGTCTACACACAGCGGCCTCGGGAAAGGGCAGCGGCTCCCAGGGCCAGCGGCCCATCTTGTCAGCAACGCCTGCCCCGCCGCACCCACCACGCCCGAGGCGCCCGCCGTCGCAGGTTTTTACCTCCAAGCCCTCGCGATCACCATGGACCCTCCATCCGCACTGACCTCCCTCAGTGGTTTGCCGTTCCTGAGAAACCCAGGGCTGGGACCACTGGCATGCCCATGTGTCCCGGTGGCGGGGGGAGACGAGGGCCGGGTGGTCGGCTGAGACAGCAAGCGCCTGCAAAACCGCAGCAGTGCAGACAACCAGGCGAAGCCAACAGCTCGTTTCTCACCTAAAAGCACACACCACCTTCCAAACTGCTGCAACGCATGCCAGCCGCCGCGCCGCTGTCACCTGCGTGGTCTTTCAATATTTTCGATATGACGACAGGGACTCTGTGCGCCGAGCCTCCCTGGAAGACAGGCAGCGGGAGTGCAGGTCAGTCAGGTCAGCACAGGGCCAGCGCAGGAAAGGAGCGTGGGGCCACCCGCTCACACCTTTACGCTCAGGCCCAAGCCGCCCCTGGGCTGTCGGCGAAGTGTAACCGTTCTGTGCTTTAAAACACTTAGGAAGAAAAAGAACAGTCTATGTTAGAATGCACAGTCAGAAAGGGAGTACAAAATGCACAAGCAGCTTCCGCGTGAAACGCGAGGAACTGTTTATAACGTATTTCCAGAGTCACCCCAGTCACAACACCATCTCCAGTCCAGCCCCTGCCGTGACACGGACGCGGACACGGACAGAATCAGCCCTGTTCTGCGCGTGATTTAAAAGCCACACAGAACTCCGGCAGGCGGGCGCTCTTCCCCTCACCGTCCCTGGGAGTCGAAGCACCATGAGGGGAACACTGGCCGTTTCCCGGGGGGCAGACAGTGAGGCCACAGAGCACACCCTGACCTGTCCCTAACGTCTGTTCTCCCTGCAAAACCGGCTCCCTCTGCACCGCCCTCCTCCGTGCAGCTCAGTCACTCTTAGGCCGGGTTTCAGGTGATCAGTGTGAACTCTCGAGTGATCAGTTATTCCACGTCCGGATCCGGTTTAAAGGCGTCGGTGCTGATGAGAAGCCAGATTTCCCCTTGCCCTTGGTGGGGGGTGACTGGCTGGGCACCGTCCCGTCTCGTACACGTTCCATCACGTGACGGACTGTGTTTTGGTCTAAACTGCCTGACTGTTAGCTGTGGGGCTGAGAGGGCGAGACCAGGGAGGCCTGGACCAGCTGAAGCGGCTGCAGCGAGCGTGCTCACCGGAGGGACCATCGGAACGACGGGAGCGCCCAGCATCGCTGGGATGAGCGAGCGCAGAGGTGAGCGCTTTCAGAGGCCAAAGAGTGCGTGTGTGCAAAGCCCGCAAAGAGAGACCCCGGCCGGGGAAGAGCGGGGTGTCCCGAGGGGCCCCGCGGGGGACGCGCCCACTGCCGGCGAGAAAGGACCCGGAAGCCGTACGGCCACCTGTCACTTACTTACACGCTTTTATTTTTATCATTTTAACTTCTCATATTTATTTATTTATATTTATTATTTTATTATTTAAAATCCACTTGTAATTTTAGTCTTTGGAGTGAATATATTATAACCTTAAAGACACCAAAAATTAGAGCAAATAAACCTCTTGTAGGGTGTACGTGGGACACATTCGACTATTCTGAGCTCTTCAGCACATGCAACGCTTTGAACTGATGAAATACTTTCACAGTCAAATGTGGGAAGAGCTGTACTTCAGGACTTTGGTTTCAGAGAAACCGTTTCGCCTTTTTCCTCGTCCTGGACTGGGTTCCCAGTGAGGGAGGTGGGGGCAGCAGTGACACTCGTGCGACAGGGACACCGTGGTGACTTCCAGGCCGTGTTCTAAGTGCGCGTCTGAAACGCCGGGAGCACCTTCACCTGCAGAGAGTCCGACGCAGCAGAAGCAGGCGTGAGGCTCGGTCCCCGGCAGGTCCCCACGAGCGACACGGGAGCTGACTCTCCAGGTCAGCGAGCATCTCCCGAGTGTGACCAGCAGCGTGGGGACACTCGCTCCCTCTGTTCTGCCCTCGGCCCTGAGGTCCCCCTGCGCTCAGGCTCGGCTGGGGCGGGATAAGCCCACGTGCAACACATCGGCCCTGAGCTTCCAGCAGAGACCTTCTGAGCGTCGGGAGGTGGGAAAGCTGGGTCGTCCAGAACATCGACCAGGAGGCTGCGGAGCTCCTCAAAACAGTCGATGATGCTTTCCACTTTTCCCACTGGGATAAGCAGCAGAACCCACTGAGAGCAGGAGAGTACGCGTCAGGGGAAACGTGTTTGAGAAGGAGCAGGTGGGTCCTGCCTCCAAAGAGCTCCCCAAATAACGACCTTTAGACTGTGTCATTTTGTTCCCACGGGGACCTTAGGAAGACAATGCAAAGGAAACACCAAGAAATGGTCAACGAAGCCAAGTTCTAAGATTCCTAACAGGGGAGGGAAGGAATTCGTGTCATAACCCTCTTTAACTCGGAGCACCTGCCACCCAGGGTCCCGGCTCAGCCAGAGTCCTGGCCACTCAGATGCCCACTCCACGCGGTCTGCCGCAGTGCCCCTCCTGAGCACACGTGGCCCCCATGTGAGCCTCGCTCAGCAAAGCTGCATGTGTCCACATCAGACACTGCAACTGGGGCTTAATGCGAACTTCCCATCTGTTACAGCTGCAAGCTGAGGCTCAGATCAGAACATTGCAGTGTCCAGAGATGGGCTTCAGCCGGTTACAAAGATAAAACTGGCCCTTGTGAGGGATGCCACCAGGCCTGCTGTCCCCCTCCCCGGCCCAGGGCACCTTCACCCACACCCCCGGTCACTGGTGAGTCCACACTCCAGCCTCGCCCCACCCCGGCCCCCCCGACATCACCGCCGGGACCACCTGCTACCAAGAGCCAGCAGGCTTTCATGACACACGTGGCGGAAGAGCCCGAAAGAGGGATTGTTAATGTTAGCAATTTAGGAGAATTTTCTGAGGATTTTAGTTCTCACACACACACACAAAACCTTCTCAATTTTTTCAGAAAACAGATGTTAGTGGATTTTGATGTTGGGGAGGGTGTGGGAGGAGGGTGTCAGGCCCCAGATCCACGACGGGAGCAAACACCCTGGAAGGGTCTTGCAGGTCGGGGTCCGGGTCTCTCTTTCCTCTCTTCCTAAAGCTTCCACACCAATGACTCCAAAGAAAAAGACCCGGGACCCAGAGTCAATTTATGGTGTGAATACATGTGTAGAAATCAATTTTCAGAAACTGAAAACAAATGGGTTTTCAATTCAGGTCTTGGGAAAAATGGAAAAAATTCAGAAATAAATGTCTGCCAACAAATAGATACTAAGAATGGGAAAAAGACAATGGTGAGGAAGTACGTCCAGGGAGTTCAGAAGGGCTGTTTTGTTACAAAGTTACTTGCAGTTTGGGCTGCAGGATAAAGTATCTGGTGGGAAACCAGGAAATACAGCAACAAAGATTACAGACAAGAGTAAAATCGTTCTTTAAGTTAAATACTAAATTACACGTGGTACCTACTTCTGATCTATAAACCCAAAGAACAGAAAGCAAAAGGGTGCTCCAGAAAGCACGTCGAACGAGGCAGAGAGAAGTAGAAACAGTGCGTTGATTTTATAACAAAAGAGCGATGACAGGATTGTGCTGCGTGTCGCACGCAGAACTGATCAGAAACTGCCGCGTCCTTGGCCAGTGTCACGGCAACCACGTCGCCTGTCGTGGAGACCGTAATCCAAGCTTAACTCCTTCATCCGAACTAACATTAAAATCTGTTGACATTTTTCACAGGGCATGTTGTGTAAATCATAAACCTAACTTTTTTTTAATGATTTTAACCAGTTCGGTGGACCATTGTGACGGCCCTGGGACCACCTGCAATGCCTCTCTTCGGCCCTGTGGCGGCCAGTTAGCGCGTCACAGAGGTTGCTCAGTGGTCTTACTGAGCTGAGCACCTTTCACAATGCACCTGTCTCTGCACTGGGTAACTCGCCCCTCAGTCACTCGCACGCACAGCTGCAAAGACACACGCGGGAAACCCAGGAAGCCAGGCCCAGACGTGAGGGGCACGCGGTCCCGGGCAGGGGAGCCCGTGTGCCTGGATCTAGGCATCCCCGACAGGACACGTTGACGGGGAAGGGAGGGCCGACAGCTGTGGCGTCGGGTGGATGCAGAGCTAAAATACGCGGGCCCGATTCTACCTTCTACCATCAGGCCACAGATGTGTGCTGTTAGCCCGACACCCCTTCCCCGGGGAGGACTGGACTCTGACAGGACACAGAACCCCCAGAGAGGAGGGGCCCGCACACCCCCTACAAACCGGGCGCGCGTTTCAGGCAGGGAAGTGGGCGTCTCTCCCTCCAGGGGTTCCCTGGGGCCCGAGACACAGACTGACGTCCTTCACCAGCAAGGAGCCCACTGCCCCCCGAGCCCCTCCGCTTCCCTGTCTCCACGGCCCCAGCAGCACCCGCGCCGCCCTGCGGGCCTCCGACCTGCTCTTCTCTATTTGCCGACCCTGGTGCTCCCCCACTCCCCCCCCCGCCATGCCCCTCAGACCAGCCTCACTGTTTGACAGCCGAAGCCTTCTTTCTGACAGACATGCTGTTTAGCTCGCACCCCGAGACTGCTCTCCTTCCCTGCTCTTGTCCTCTCTGGTTGGTTCCACACCTGCTGGGTCGCCGTGCACGGCCCTCCCTCCCGGCCGCACTGGCAGGGCCTCTCTCGTGTCTTCAGACGTAGTGAACACGTGCACTGTGTGGCGCCGGACCCCCAGGTCGGGGGTCTTTGCGGGCCCACGTCCCCACCCTCTCCTCTCTGCGTCCCTGCCCCGTCCTCTTCCCCGTGGCTTCCTCTCCACAGGCCCCCGGGAACCTGCCCTGGGGAGTCACCTCAGACCCGAATGTGAAGGGTGCTCCTGCAGAAGGGACACACCGCTTCCCCCTGCGCGGACCGGGGCCCCCAGACCTGGCAGCCCTACAGCCTCCTTTATCCGTGTGGGGCTTTCATGGCACAGGGACCGGTGAATCCCAGCCGCAGACCCAAAGCAGGGCGGGCGGGGGTGAGGGTCCCTCTTCCTTCTGGAGCCAGTGCCAGGTGGGGAGGACTCTTCCCTCCCACGGGGCGGGCTTTGTTTTCAGGTCCACACACCGCAGCCGTGACCCCGGGCTCTCCTCCTCCAGGCAGGGAGGGGGCCGGTCTATCCTCCCTCTGGCGTCCCCCCCGGCTGTCTCCTGGTGTCCACACTGAACCCCCCATCAGGTCACGCTGGGGGCACACCAGGCTCGGGGACTGGCCCTCCCAGAGCTCACACGACTTCCGCGTCACTGAGCCTCCCCAGCGTCGCTGGCGCTTGTGTCTCTGGGAACATCCCGCACGTCTCTGGGCCTGTGCTGTCTTGGGAACCCAACACGCAGCACCCGCCGGGTCACAAACTAGCCGAGGAGCTGCTGAGACGCTGCCCCGATTCTGTAATCAGCTCCGTGAGCTCAGACAACAACTTCCTTCCCCACGAATCCCAACTTCCCAAACAGGAAAGTGAGGGTGTGGAATCTCCCAGATATATTCCAGCCACAAATGTGCCGTGACTCGAAGTGCCAGATACAACAGAGATCCTGGAACGTGTTCCTTCAGCGGAATGTGTTTAGATGTAACTTCCTCACCACATTCATTTAAAACACAAATGTAAACGTAGAGTTTAGAAAATTAAACTGTGTCAAGTGTACAGCGACAGCTACAAAAATAAAGCAATCCAAGCACAAACTGAAACAGAACAAGCGAGCTCTTCCACGCTGCAAGGCGCACACTCTCTTAGGAGGGAGTCAGCAAACCCAGAGGCTGTGAGTCTTCAAAGTGCCATGTTGATGTCAGGAAAGAGGAACATAAATGCAGTGCGGACTCTTAGATTCCAAGTTCGGAGGCTGGATCAGCAGAGTTAAGAATATGTCGGTTTTACTAAAGAGCAGATTTAGTTTTACATTAGCTCTTCCCCTCCTGGATGAAGAACAACACCCACCCTTAACTGACACCACACTTACTTCCTTCCCAGTAGGTTCAAGGAAACAAAATACAAGTCTGCGCAACCGTGTCTTCCCAGACAATCAGCACGTAAGCGCAGCCCAAGGTGTAGGGTTCCGTGTGAACTTTGTGTTAAGCTTCAAGAGAACCAAACTCCTCCAGGCTCACTTCTGAGTAAGTGCTGAGTCAAAGGAGTGTTGACTTTGAAGTGAGCAGGGACCTCCCACTGAGAAGAGCCCGAAATGTGAGAATCAATCATCAGTAGTTAAGAAAACTGATCTTGAAAATCAAAACACCAGCGTGAGCCGTCCACAGACTCAGTGGCGGCATCTGAGCTCACGGGGCCTGACAAACGAGGCGTTTGCTCTAAGACGCTGACCCGGTCTCGGGGTCCCCGTGACCAGCCGCCTTCTGCTGGACTTTCCCATCTACAGTGCAGACTCCGCGACCCGGCTGAACTGACTCCGACGACAAGTTTTCATCTCCCGGGAGCCACACAGGAACTCGAGGTTGGTGAGCTGTAAATTCACACTCATTTCTTCCGCTGATCCACTGTGGAATCGTTGCATCTTCCTTTCCTGCTCTTCAGAAAAATTTTAAATGGAAAATAATTGTCCTCAACCAGGTTCTCTGGTGGAAGTTAACATGGAAACATCCAGCTGTGAACATACTGAGAGTCGAGGCTCTGGTGTCCCTCAGAGGGGTTCTGACTCTGTAAAAACAGCCCTGACTTTTGCTAAAAGGAGTCTTTCTTATCCTCCAAACACACGATAAATTCTCATGTCAAGGTTAGTTTTATTTTTATAATCAGCTGAAGAGCACGGGGTTTCAGCTGCAACTCAAACCAATGGGATTGAATCCAACGTGAGTCTGTAACTGGGAGAGATTCTGATCTCAGCAACTGACTATGTTCATCTAGGCGCGGAAACGTCCTCTGAACGCCCCTCCCAACTGTGCAGCCCAGATATGCGTGTTTACTCAAGCACATGTCCACCACTTTCCTAGAACAGAGGGCTTCCTGGGGATCCAGCAGAGAGCAGTAAGGAGGGGCGGAGACTGGGTACAAAGCCCGTGAACCCCGTGTCCCCACCCACACCCTTATTTTAGGGCAGGAAACACTAACATCAAGCTTCAGGCTTCAATAATCACTTGAAAATGAAAACATGCATTTATGGGTCTGAATATACACCCATTTCTCTTAAGAAGGAATCTATAATTTTCATCAGGAACTTAACCTTGGGCAGAAAATCTGACACTGAATAGAATTTAAAAGTGTAGGTTATTTTTCCTGGACAAAATAGCCTAGAAACATTGTGTGTTTTTACTATAACTTGTCTGAGATTTTCTAGAGATTACAAATTCACTATTAAGAAGGGTCATTTTTTTCAAGTGGTTAGAGTGGTCCCATGGCTCCCTCCCCAGCCCCACCCCATGGCGTCCAGAGCCGCTGCAGGGAAATGAGCAAAGGAATGGACACTGCCAGGACCACGCAAAGATGGGACGAGACCTCTCCACTTTCAGAAAGAAAGCAGACATCGGGGTGTTAGCAGGGTCTTCTCGGGGCTGGTGGAGCGCAAGGGGGTCTGCAGGGTGCAGAGATTCCCCAGGGTGGGGTACACAGGATATGAGTCTGCAGCTCTCCAGAGGATGGCAGGAAGGACTGCCTCCTGGTCTGGCCTCATAGGTCCTGGACCCACGGGGGCACCCTCCCCAGATGCAGCAGCCAGACCCAGACCCGGGAAGGCAGACCTACGACACGGGAGGGAGGGTGGACCTGGGTCAGGGCAGATGGAGGAGGATTTCAGGTGGAGACGTGAGTTTTGAGAGTCACGAGAGCCTGTGTGGACATATGGCAGGCTCAGGCCTCCCCAGCAAGGTCACGGCATTGCATCTCACGAGGAAATGCCGAGTGTGGGACCACAGCCCCGGAGGAGGCGCCCGTCCGGCTCACCTCCAGCACAAAGGCCACAGGACTCAGAAACCACCCACCGCAGGTGTCCCCAGAGCCCGTGCCACTGCGAACTGGGGATGGAAGTGCTTCGGGGATACTTTAAAAAACACTCTGGGGGAGGGGATGGCGTGTGCTCAGCAGGCACGAGGTCCCGGGTTCAATCCCCAGCGCCTGCATCAAAAATAAATAAATAAACCAAATTACCTCCCAACAAAACAAAACACACAAAAGGAAAGTCCTCTCCTCTACACGGTTTCTTGCTCGTCAGGTTTTGCGGCCGATGGGGGGTGTAGTCAAAGGGGAGAGGAACGACCGAGCTGATGACGCGCAGAGACTCGTCAGCAAGATGCACGTCTATATCCACGGCTGCGAAACCTCCTGGAAGGATGTGGGAAGCGGAACACGGCTTCAGATACAGTATGTTGTGTGTTTAACACATCGTCGGCGGGAGGCCCAGGTAAACTCTGAGCTGAGACCCTTCACCCTAATCTTCATTCAGTATTCTAGCGCATCTAACACAAAAGCTTCCTACTGTTAAGGACATTTCATCTGTAAGTCTGCAGCCGAGAAGGACCGAGCTTCACCTGGAGATCCTGATCTGTACCCACGGATGCAGGGACACGGTCGATAACCTGACACTGAAAAACGCCTGCCTGAGCTTGCGCTGCAAGTCGTTCTGGACAGAAACCCTCGGGTTACTGTTCTGTCAGGGAGTAGACTGCCACACCACTGCCTTCTAGCTTCCAATGAAACTATGCCCAACCTGACTGCAGTGTTCGGGGGTGTTTTTAATGTGCAGCTCCCCAAGGAAAATACATTCATAAAACGTCAGGGAGAGCACAAGTGATACGATGCTGACAATGACAGGCTGCTCTGCGACAACGAAGGCCAGCGGTGGGACCTCTAGGTTCGGCGGAGGACCGAGTCCGGCAGGTCCCGCAGGACCACCCGTGGGTGGCTCTGCCTGGGGAGACCCTCTGGGCTCATCGGGGTGGGACGGTCTGGGACAAATCCCTGGGGCCTGCAGACGCGGGAGCACTGACGTTCGCACTGTGGGTGCTGCCACTGACACAGGACGTCTTGCTTTTGAACTGTCAGTACCTCTTCCGTCAGCTTCAGCCGGACGTCGTAGGCGTGTCCAGACCCTGGGTCGCACAGCAGTGCGGTCCCGGTTTTGGTCTGCGGAGACAGTGGGGTCAGGGCAGTGAGGCCAGGGGAGCCTAGAGCTCGCCCGCACGGCCAGCACCGACGGCTGGGCCGTCCGCACTCGGCTGCCGAGGGCCTGCCCAGCGTAACGCACAGCAGTGGAATCTTTACTGTGTCTTCCCGAGTTGTCTTCAGAGAATTGGGTGTAAAACTTTTTTTTGAACACTTTCTTTCTTTATGAATTGAATACAGTCAATCTACAACGTTGTGTTAGTGTCTGGTGCACAGCACAGTGATTCAGTTACACGTGTACACAGATATTCCTTTCCACATTCTTTTTCATTATAGGTCATTATAAGGTATTGAATAGAGTTCCTCGTGGCGTACGGCAGGACCTTGTTTTTTAAATCTACTTTATATACAGTAGTTAGTATCTGCTAATCCCAAACTCCCAGTTTATCCCTTTTCTCCCAGTAACTAAGTTTGTAAAACATGTTTTTACAGGATAATTAGTCCTCACGTTTTTAAAAGCCTGAATGCTTTACTAGTACTTTATTTTAATCTATTTTTCTACTTCGCATTTTTCACTTTGACCAAAGCTATTTGAGTGAAAATGATAACTTTCAATAAAGATCCAAATAATATTTTCATGGAGATCTGTTGTTCTGGAGCAGGAAGGTGACACACTGACAATAAGCAGGATGATGTCAGGGTTACAGTCACTGAATGCACAGACGGGATGGTGACTCCATCAGACATGCCCCGGGATGAGGCATGGAGCGCCCGCCCACCAGCCCGCCCTCCAGGGAGGCTGGGAACAAGGTGTTTTCTGTCCTCCCCACACACCAAGCAATTCCACCTGCATTTGTTGGGAAGTACTGACTGGAGATTTAGTAATTACAGAAGATAATGTACCAGGTGTTCTTAGCAGGTGATGAGTCAGGAAGACACCTTTGGATCAATTAGCAGAAGTCACCTCCTCCCGTGTGGACATCACAGAAATGTTCCCTGGCTGAGCAGCCCCAGGTCGCCCAGGTGGGCGCGGGTCCCGGGCCTGCACCTGATGACCTCCCATCTGTCTTACGCCTGCACCAGGCTCTGGCCAGCATGGTCTCAGGCACAGCCCTGCACCTGGGAGGAAGGAAGGAGGGGAGAACGGGCACTTGGAGAGGTCACAGGGGTCTAGTCCTCAGGCCAGGACCAGAGGATGGCCCCAGGGCACACGGAGCCCCAGCCAGGTCCCAGGAGCAAGGGTGCAACCAGTGTTGCCTCTGTCCCTCCACTGTCCTGGCAGGAGAGGCCCTTCCTGGGCTAACAGCTCCCTCATGTTCAAGGTCACAATCCGGAGCAGAAGGAAAATTGGGGTGGGGGCAGTGCTCCCTGAGGGGTCCTGGAGGAGGCCCAGGTTCAGTGAGGGTAATGCTGAGTCCCAGTGCGTCACTCGGTCAGCCTGGAGTGCCGGGTCTGCAGAGCCCCGCCTGGGCCTCCCCCAGGGACCCGGGTCTAATCCCCGTAGGATGTGGTCTGAGCACCAGGAATTTGAGACACTCAGCATTAGCTTCTGTGAGGCTGACAAGCTGGGGAAGGAAGGCCCAGGCCAGGAGGGAGGGCCCCCTGAGTCCCTGTGGAAGTGCAGGCCTCGGCCCACAGCCCCACCTGTCGAACCAGCATGGCCCTCCCCAGCACACCTGGTGACCCATGTGGGTATTTTCAGGGAACACCACGAAATGCTTCCACCATTTAAATTATGTTAATAGCACAAAAAATGAGCACAGAAAACATCCCCAACAGCCTGTCTGAATTGGCTGAACACTCACGGGGGCAGGACTACACAGACGTGCCGGGGCCCGGACACCACGGCCGGCGATCTGCCCGCCTCCCTGGCTACCCCATGCAGAGCTTGTCTGGCTCAAGCATAAACTCGAGAAGGTGGGGCACCTGTGCACCCAGGGAGGCTCCCTTCTCCCCTGCCACCCACTGGAGTGGCTGAAACAGGGAGGGCCGGGTCCCCTGCGCCGATGCCTGAATCCCCTCAGCCCTGCTTCTGTCACTGACGCAGACCAGCTCCAGACACAGGAAGCCTGGGCGGGGGCTTGTCACCTTTCCTGGGGTGTTTCCTGTAACTGTCATCACTAACTCCAGACACAGATCTGCCTCCACGCTGCACTGGTCCAGACCCTCTCCTGCTGTCCTCGACCCCCGCTGTGCCCTCCCCCTCCCAACACCCCCCCTACAGCTGAGAAACCTGCTGGGGTCTCACGGATGGGAGGGGAAGATGGGGGACACTTGGCTGTGAAAGTGCGTCTCTCCTGGTCCTAGTGTCAGCCAGCACGCTCGTGTCTGCTGGAGGTCCTGGGCCACGTCTCATATGCCAGACACAGCGACAGAGCTGACCGCCTGGCCTGCTCAGCGCCCACACGCTGGACCGACAGGAACGCGAAGCAAACATTTTCTGAACAAAATAAAGGTAAAGATGCGAGGGACGGAGAAGGAAAAACCAGCTCATTTTGGCGGTATTTTTTTAACTTCTAAAATTGCAGTTTTTTAACCATATATTTCAGTGAACCCTTCCTGAATTGAATTGAAATTAGTTGCATGATTCAATTTTCCCCTTTGTTTTCCTAATTTAGTTTCTTCAACTGAAAATGTACTTTCTGTGAAAATCCATAAACTGCATCAATTCAAGCTCAGGTGACAGCAGAAGTAACACACTGCCTGCGCGTCCGCGTGGAAGACGGACCCGCTGAGGCAGGCGTCAGCCGCGCTGCTCCGCCTGAGGATTTGCAGGCGGAGCCGCCCTGGAACCCGGCCAGCTCCCGGGCTCCCCGGGCCCGGCTGCGCCGCCACCACCACCGCGCAGCGCCGCGCCTCCCGCTCCTAGAGGGAGCGGCGGCACCGCAGCAACCTTCGCGCAGTCGGCGATGTGGGCGCGCGGCCCCCCGCGCCTCCCCGCGCGCACCCGGTCAGAGCCAGAGCGCCCGCTAAACGCGGCCCCCGGGCCCCGGGGGGGGGGGCGCGCTCCAAGGACCCCCGGAGGAGGCTCCCGGCGCTGCGGGCGGCAGAGGCACAGGCCCGGGCCGCCTCCGGGGCGGGGCTTCCGCGGGGCCGCAGCGCCCCCTCGTCCCGCGGCGCGGCCGGCGGGGACCCGGGAGCCCCGCTGCCACCGGCAGGCTCGGGACGGAGGGCTGAGCGTCACCGGCCTCCGCAGCGGAGGGTGGGCACAGGCCGCGCCGACAGCGCTCGCAGACAAGGACCTTCACCGACAGCCGCAGAGCGGCGTCCGCTTCCCGTCGCAACGCAGGGCGCGGCTTTTCAAAGCGCCGTGAGACCGCGCGAAAATGGAGGATTCTGACCACTGGCATGTAATTCCCCAGACTCGGAGAAGGACCCGCGTCTCTGAATTTAAGCTCACCTTCCGGGAGGGTGAGCTCATGATCCGGGGACTGTAGGCCAAACAAAATGCCGTCAAACCCCTGTTATGACGGCTTCACTGGGGTGCTGGGGAGACAGGGAGGGACAAACGGTGCGGGATGATGTGGACGGGGAGGGGAGGGTGGAGCAGGAGGGGTGGGGAGGGGAGTGTAGAGTGGGGAAAGGGGAGTGGAGGGTGGGGGAGGGGAGTGGGAGAATCAGTCATTCTAATAGCTCAGTAGAATTGACATTCCTGCTTAAAAATCTTCACCTTGGGAAGAAAACAGAATCCTTGATACGTTCCTAGGATCTTACGAGGAGACTTGAGAGTTTAAAATTAATGAATCTGTTTACCTACATTTTTCAAAAAGCACGAACACATCAGCACTGCACTGATCTGAGCAGCAGAAGCAGAAGCTCGAGGGCACCGGCGACTGCAGGACGCTGGTTTTTAAAATGTGCACGTGTGTGGACTGAAACCAAACCTACTGCTGGCCTGCAAGAAGCCCTCAAAACTCTCAAAGGGTCAGAATCGCTCAGATTGTGTCCTCCCACATACTCTGCAGTGGAAGATGAGCCGGAAATGATAACATAAAATCTCCTCTCCTTCAAAGTTAAGCGATATACTTCCAAATGACCGCGGATCAGGGTGGAAAAGTCAAGTGGAAATAGGATGTATTTTGAATGGATATGGGGTTACAATTCTTTGAAACAGTCCTTCAAAGAAAATGTACATCTTTAATGCACTTTTTTATTTTTAAAAAGCCAAGGCTGAAAGCCGCCGCTAATCTCGGGGCAGCCCCAGGCCTGTGTCTGTAGATGAAGTCTTGCTGGAAGAGCTGCACCCACCCGGTCTCCTGCTCGTCACCGCTGTCGTGTGAACACGACTACACCTGCTTTAAACCTGAACGCGTCACTAAATCCTTTCACAGAGCACAGCCCAGGGCTGCACAGCTGCATCAGGGAAGTCCACAAATCTCCGGAAGGATGACGCTATGACACAAACTCTTCCAGAAAAACAAATACGGAACACCACTTCACTCATTTATAAACTCAAACTAAGCTGGACGCCAAATCCAGCAAGGAGGCTGCAATAGAATTAATTTACTGGTCAATTCCCCCTTGTCAACATCAATGCGAAAATCCTAAAGAAAATATTACCAAATGGAACAATCCGGTTGGAAACCGAGGATGAGCAGGAAATAAGAGGCCTCCTGAGGGGGTGGAAATGAAAGGCAGGAGGGGGGTCTGCACAGGTCCCGGGGAGCAGGTTCCGGCTGGGAATCGGGCCTTGACTCAAACACCCCCCTTCCTCAAAGGCTGACATCCTCCGTCCAATGGTTCAGTCCCAGGCCCCGCCCACGACGGACAGGAGGGACCCTGGAGTCAGCCGTCAGTGCCTCTGACCAGCCGTCCAGGGAGGATGCGGGAGGTTTCAACGCCAACCCAGTCCTCCCCCAGGAAGACTGCTTCCAGGGGACACAGCCGCCCAGTGCTGCCGAGAAACAGGCTTATATTTTTCCATAGTCCAGGGAAATGCCATATGACGTATTTTAATCTTCCATTTTAAACTTTGTTTAGAGCCCAGCTTTCAGCAGTGACACTGGCCTTGTAACTGCCGCTCAGATGTCTGATTCCGCCATCGCAGTGAATTTATAGCCATCAGTGGAAACAAGCAAGGCCTGTCAATAATGACCTACTTAGGATGCACTTTTTGAGGAGAAAAAAGGTAGGACTCCATGCTGTTGACGGATTTCTATTTCTGCAAAAATAGACTGTTCTAACGAGCCACAAAGATCAAAAGAATCCTAACACAACTGCATAGCATTTGAATAACTTGGATTTGACACACAGAAAGTGTTTCAATGTTATTTAAAATAGGTATCTACTTCCTTAAACTGTATTTTAAAGTGAAATCTACTTGTGAGAGAAACAGTTGGGAAGAGAGATGTGTACACACATTAAAAGTCGTAAAAGGCATTAAAATAATCAAAACAAAGTAAATGAATCCTCGTTTATCATTAGCAGAATTCAGCTGTCAGTCACGCAGACGCCATGGCTGAAGCTGTCAAAATAATCCTCTGTATATTTTAAATGGGGATCAACTCTGCCTCCAAAAGCAGCAGTGAAGACGCTCGTTACACGTAAGGGTGTCACTTCCAGCAGCCAGGCCGCATGAGCTCTGCGCACTTCGCAGGAACTTGTGGGAGTGCAAAGAGGAACCTACTGACAAGATGAGCATTTCGATAAAGATTTCACTCTGCAAAAGGGAAGAAACATAAAAATACAGGGTCATCTGGGAAGAACAAACTGCAGGTAGAAATGAGGAACACTTAATGCATCTAAACGTTTCAAGTGTGCCCGACATTTCAGGGCGGGTGTCGGGCACGTTTGACTCTGAAAATAAAGCAGGACATGCTTTGAACTTTTTTAAGAATACAGACTTTAGCTCCTGAGTCTAGCAGGTCCTCGGCATCAACCTGAACATTCTGTGAACTTGTTAGGAAGCAAACCTGAGTTGCACATGTCAAAGCAATCGTGCAGTTAAGACATGTTACAACAAGTTGTCCAGAGACACCCTCTTGTAAACCAGCTAACGCCCACCTTTACCACACTGAATTTATTTACGTGGAAACTCAAACTATCACAAAAGAAGGTGGCGCAGTGCCCAGTTTGGATGCTGCTGGACGTGAGTGGGAGGATGAGGGGCGGAAGCCCAGGGCTTCACGAGGGGCACCACGGCCTGACTCCTTGATGGGGCAGCTTCCCGAGGAAACACTGTGAGACGCCGTCGTTCGTTCCACGTGCAGAATTGGCTGTGCCGCCGCTGCTGCCTTTTGTCGTGATCATCTGTTTGTTATTTTTTTCCAATCTGGTAACAGAAACTCACAGATTCACTCTGTGAGAATGTAGTTACAGAAGAAGCAATCTTGCCTAAAACTCCTTATGAAAATAAATAATGCACAAAAGTGTTTACAGTCAGATGATAACAGCCCCCCTTTTAAAGATTTTGACCACTGGATTGATCTTGATTAATTTATACACATAACGTCCATCCTGAGGGACCGGGTATTTCTCTAAAGATGACAGAATGGCTCCAA